AGATTGACTGTATTAAGATTCCAATCGCACGGATGCACTTAAGCCGAATTGTCACTTTATCTGATTTAAACTTATTACGGATAATCTTATGGAAATGTGAAAACTTTTTAACGGTTCTAAAAGCAATCTTTCGATTTAAAAGATTATCGTTACTAGGGTCGTGTGTACATTGGGAAAAGGATTCGCTAGCATAACGAGCCAAGTTCCGCTTTTACCGGTACGAACTTTCTCCCTTCCAGACCTATGACGTCTGCAAGAGGGAGCGTGTGCTATGTACCGCGAATAATAATCAAGAAGTGCTCCGATGAGAGGAACTGTGTTCATGAAACCACCCCAGACGATTATGAGGACCCCTTGCGTCCGCGCCGAGACAAGTCATTTTCTTGTCGCTTTTGATTCACCGGAAGGAGTTGTATAAAAGAAATATATTTTATCATTATCTCGTGATATCCTTAGAATTATTAAAGGATAAAATCCAAAGTATCTCGATATATGGAATATGTTTATGTTACTTGATTAATTCTACTGCTTTTTGTTAATTAATTCTAGATTTCTATACATTACGGAATTAGAGTTTATATGTAGTGATATTTTCATCTTATTTATATTAATTTATTTTAATATATAAGAAAAATAATTTTTAAAAATATTATAGATGCAAAATGTAATGAGAGATAATATTTTGCTTTCATTTATAATAATTTCTAGGCTTTTATTCTATTATTTTTTTATTAAAAATTTTATTTAATTAGCAGTTAAAGGCAATTTTCTGGCCATCGTCGTAAAACGGAGCTCTCTCTGATCTTTAATGTTTACGGTCTTTAAGTCTCCTTCACCTCTTTTGAAATCCGTCACGTTACATCAACTGCCCTGCTATACTCGACAATTCTACGTGTCACCGTGTAGATGTTGAACGTGCAAGCACTCAGCATCGGTCAATGTAGTTGAAAAATCGGACCGCTTGTGTAAACGTTATAAAGCGACGCGGCTGCAGCTGTCGTCGGCGCGGAGAAGAGTAAGAGAAAAGAGAAGCAGATATTTAGCTCTCTTTCTCGGGAAGGAAGCCAATCTTGAGAGTAGGTCGTAAAAGAAGCGGTCGTGTTTACCCCTCGCGGAGGTTTCACGACTGGCAACCAAGACGACTAGCGTAAACGTGCATTCTTTTTTTAGAATGCAACGCAATTCTTCCTCCCACTTTTTCCCTCTTGCTGATAAAGATTGACATCGAACTGCATTCGGAGATATCGCTTAATGATCGCATTGAAAAGGCGCCTATCGTAAAGTCTGCTATATTAGTTGAAACTTCTCTAATTTCTCGTTGGGGAACTAATGAATGATAAGCTAACGATATTTTTAGAGACTATGTCTTGTGAGACTTGTCTTTTGTGATCGAAAACATGGCGTAGAAATATATATTTTTATGCTCACATTCATATATAAGGTGGCCAACTCTTGATCAATCAATTTTGAGATATCGACCTTAACATATCGAGACACAAAAATACATTGGATTATAAAAACATGTATACCTTACGTATAATACTAATCAAATTAAATAAGATATATATATATATATAT